GGGTCTATGTCTAGAACCATATTTTATGCGCTTATGTCTAAGTCACATCCCATATTGGTTTCCTAATGTTTTACCTAATTCACCCTTCTTAGGGTTGAGCTTTATTGTATAAATCAAGTTCTCACTGGCCAAATAGAAAAAAGGACATAAAGAGAAGTTCTTAGAAACCAACCAAAAAATGTGTCAGGTGTAATTCTGTGCAAATCTCAAGCGTGTTGAAAATCAAATCATTTTGACTAAGGCACTCCACAGAGAGGCCGATAACTAATTTAGAACATTTTTAAAGGAAAGAAAATGCACAAAAACATAAAGGAAGTATTTTTCATTGAATTAAAACGAATAAATGAACCGTACAATGAGTTCTAACTTGACCCTAATCTCTCTCGAGCGTGAGGGGAGTGTAAACACACTAAAGAACTTAAGAATAACAGAATAAACGAAGAACAAATGATAGAACTTGAATTAAAAGCAATAAAGTATGAAAATACAAGGAAATAATAACTAAAATTTGAATCTAAGACTAAGAACGAGTTCTACAACGAAGAGAGAATGTAAATGAAGCTGAAAACGAGCTTGGAAGGGATGATTTGCAAGTGGAGGGATGACTTCCTTATATAGCACCTTGGGTTGGTTGAACTCCCCACCATTTTAGGTGGAAATGAGTTAAGATTCACCTAACAAACCCTCTTGGACTTGGAGTCACGGTTTTGAGTTGGTTTGAACATGTGGGAAATGTCCTCCTTGCCCTTCATTAATCAAAACATGAATTTTGCCAATTTGTTCTCCAAAAATGTGCTGGGCGAAATTATGCAAAAATAGAAAACTATTATTTTCTTCTAATTTTGACCGCATTTGTAACGCCCCGCGTTCTTTGACTCGTTTATTTTAAGAGATAAATAGTGTCTTTGGATTTTTCCCTAAGTTGATAACTTTAATTCTTGGATCTTCTAACTTCGGAATTAAGTTTAATTTCATTGGATTAAGATAATTTAAGTTCTCGACCGTGTAGGAGATTTTTAATTAAATCTTAAATTCAGGGGTTTTAGGATTTTCCTTCATAAATTCTACTTTTCTTTGAATTATTATTCTTGGGTCTTAGAGTTGAAGTTAATTATTTTATCTCGAATTATTGTGAGTTTTATTTTAACTACTAACGTGAAATTTCGGGTTTCTTGTTTTGGGTCGTTAGAACTATTTGAAAATAGAATTCTAGTTCCCTCTAGCCCATGGGCTTTCCATTAGAGTTGGGAGTTGGGCTTTTCATTTTT